GCGAAACTGGGAAATAAAATCAGCATAATTGAATCACTTTAGAAAAGAGACCTAAGGGCAAGCTGTTCCAAACATTTTGTTGCTACGCTGCTACGGTTCTATATAACTAATTTTAAACAAAAATTGTGGAAATAAAAATTAGTATATGTATGTTTAACAAACAGGTACACATTTTAATTGCTTACTATTAATTAGGGCTATTGTTTCTAACGCAGTAACAGGTCATTGAATAAGTTAGCTATTCAAATGTATTATTATCAGCTAGTACATTCGATATAGGAAAAGTTTGTACTTTGTTTTATTTCAAGGCTTGCTAATATAACAAAAATAGCATGATACTAGCAGTTTACGACATGTGAGGAAGAGAGGGGAAATGGTGGTGAGACAGATAGTGCTAGAGGGGAAGCCTTTCAGTTACAAAACGTGGGGGGGGGGGCTTGCTAGTGCTAGATGAGTAGCGACTTAATACTTTATCAGGGGACAGGGAAGCAAGCTAATCTTAATGGAGACACGGACAAGTGCTAGGAACTGACCTTAATTTTAAGGCTAGAGATTTTACGTGTTAATTTGTTCCATTACTTAAACATACACAGTTCTCTGTGTTAACCTTAGTACATTATGCTTATATACAGACAGCTCAGACGACACGTCCTGCCTCTGACTCGGCCTTTCGTTAATTGCCTCACACATCCGCTACCCATCCGCTACACATCCGCTACACCGTTAACAATGATTATACAAAGTGCGTATCTACGATATACACAATAACAAGAAGCGTAGCCATACTAACAAGACATAATATTATCCTATTTCATGATTTTACTAAATACTCTGTTATATAGACTTTTGTGAATACATTGCATAGATATGTTCCCTTTGTTTATTATTTGTGTTTAATCCAAACACAGTCTCCGAAACCAACAGAGGCTAGATACAAACTATAGTTAGCAACTGTTTTACACATATTCTGATATTGGATCGTCAGGACATAGAGTCTAACACACCTGCAATTAAAAGGACAAGGCATGAACCATGGCAATACAGATAAGATGTAGGTAGCAAAAGTCTCAAATAAATGTGGACAGACAGGCACTTGGGTGGAACTCCCTGGGAAGGAGAAAGATATGGATATCTAGGAAGATACAAACTATTGTTAACATCTGTTTTACGCATATTCTGAAACTGGATCGACAATTTTATAAAAAATTCCGAGGATATAAAATAAAAAGATTTTAAAAATGTCGTGTCATATTAAATTGTAACATTAGAAGAGATGAGATATATCACTATATGTGTAATGTTCCTGGTTATTCAAATGTTGGTAGAGATGTGTATCTTTTTAATCAGCACTATTTTATTTCGTACTAATTTTAAAGTATATTATGTAATTATTGTTTTTAAAACTTACAGACCTGTCTTATTTACATTTGGGACTTGGAATCAAATACAAACTACAGGTAATGGTGAAGCTCAAACGGAAACAATATTTCCATTGACGATTTCACAGTCCATTGCCTCTTATACAATGTAGTCACGCATAAATAGGTTGTTTACTAGATGAATTACGTATGGACTGTACGAGACAAAAGTCAACTTTCCTGGACATCGTAGTTGTAGCTGAAAACAATATATCATTCTGAACGAAAAAAATGTATTGTGATTAAAACTAGATCTGGCAAATAAGATGTACTGAACTACTTGCATCATTTTGTCGATCGACAGTTTAGTTAACTTGAAATCTATTATAGTATTAACTGTATATGTACTTTGAGTAAAAACTTTAATTGGTTTAATTATGCAGGTCGCCAAATCTTTTCTAATAGATCAATATTGTTTTCTTTTTTTTTATATAAACTGTTGAACATGTAGCCTAACTGGCGCTTTATTTCTCAATGTTAATACAATACGTTGGCCTGATGTAGACACAACAAACTTGCAATGGCTAATAGTGGACACGGACTAAAGTAATACACATTTTAGTCACATTTAAAAACAAACGGGTCTATTAAAAATCATTTTCCGTGCTGCCTATACTATATGGTGTTTGCATTTACTACAAAATTAAATAAATTAAAGCATTCTTTTTAATTGGTCTTTTTGAAATAAAAAAAATACATATTACTATATTCCCTCTAGAATGTTTGATTTAGTTGTGGCTTTACCTACATAAATATTCCTGACATTCCTGAGTCCCTGAGTCCACCCAGCTCTGATGGATACCTGGCTTACATTAGGGAAATCAAGTCGGCTAGGTATCGTACCGACCACACCATACCTAAGATAAAATGCACTTTACATGGCCCACTTGTCTTTGGCACAAACGGGAACATTTAATAAGACTAGTTTTAAACAATTATTTTTATGTTATTGATAACTAAGTATTATAAAGTTTTAGATGTTTTTAATTGTGTATAATTGATTAGTATGCATTTATTTTTATTTTCATACCGCCCAAAGCACTAGCGAACGTCCTCAATTTTAAGTCCATAAACTTAATGTAAAATGATCTATTTGTAATTTTAAGTCATTTACTTTGATGTTTATCAATTATATTCTGTGGGAAAAATATCATTATCGTAAAAATGGGTACAACGGTAATTTTACTGAACAGCATTATATGTAGTTTAGATTGTAGAATTTAGTTCAGCATTTATACAATGTTTAATAAATACAAAATGTGCTTTGTTTATCGACACGACAACAAATCATTATAAAGGAATAATTTTAGCATGGTATCATACATCTTTTAAACGAGTTGCAGGCCTACATATATACTGTTAAACTATTGCTGATCTGTCGTTTAGTTCACCAAATATTTCACTTGATGCCTATTTGGTGTTCATTTTATCTCCAAAAATAAAAACCTATTAGGCTTTACGTGGACCTGAAGCAAACTGTATAAAGCCAATCAGTGGGCGAAAGTCAGAGTCAAACAACAATGGTCAAACTACTTGTGGTCACAGCACAGTGTATCCCATTTAGTGACTAACGGTTTATAAAAAAAATCATTTTACTAGCAGCATATCGGCAATGAGTGTTGAACTTGTTCTCAAATAAAATGTTATGTCTTCCTAAACTGTAGGAACAAAAGTAACATTCGCCTTCGAAACCGGAATGATTTAAATATTTTGTTTCTTCATCTTCATTAATATAAACCGGGAGTGATCTCCCCTAAACGTTCTCGAATATTCTTATATAAAACAACAGGGGATGGGAACTCGGGCTATATACATGATTTTTAATCCATTTTAAATAAAAGTTTAAAAAATAGAATAAAATCTCGTAGACAAAAGAATTGCACACCAAGTGAACGCCAAATAAAAAAGTGCATAATAGTGCGCAATATTATTAGTACTTTAAAAATTTACATTAGTTTTTTGAGAAATCGGAAGTAGCGTAAATTACTACTTCCGGTCAACGGAAATTACTCAAAATTTAACAGAAGGTAGAAAATTAGATGTTTTACTCATATGTGAAATGTCATTTATCTATCTGAAATAGTACTCAAGTTATAGGCTTTGAAAAATTCAAAGTCGAAAAAAGTACCACTTCCGGTTATCGGAAATCGCTCAAAAGTTGATACGGATCTACGATTTTGATAAAATACTTATATATGAAATTTCATCGACCTAGCTGTAACGGTACTCAAGTAATCGTGTTTACACACACACAGACAGACACACAGACATACGGACAGGATTGCAAAGCCCAGTTTTTCTCTTAATATTGATAAATCTGGATTGATAATTTTTGCCCAATTAAAATAAGTCCTCTATACTTCGGATGTGATGAAGGACTGAGGTGTAATACGGTGAAAATTGTTAAAATTTCAAGAGATTTTTTTGCACGATTACAATACTTTCTCTATACTTCGTATATACGAGAAAGTAAAAAAAAACAATAAAATAGAAAAAAAAGCGACTCGCAAACCTTTTTTTTTTTTTTTTTTTAATTTTTTATGATCAGACAATTTTACTAGAAAGTGTAAAGTAGAAAAATTTAAGAGAAAAAAAAATTAAGTTAACGATACTGCGAGATTCAGGTTAGTGCATGTATGTTCAAGGTGCCTCTTCATATATCACTGCACATATGCAGTAAGTCTGTGTATCTACATAGTTTTCGTGTTTTTAAAGAGCCACTAAAATGTTTATTTTATTTTATTTGTTTTTCTTAATAGGAATAGGTAAATAAATTGTATTTGCTATTTAAAATAAATACCTTTACATATGAAAAAAAATAACACCTGTTTCGCCAGAGCAATAAACTTTGTAATCAAATAATATAACTACAGAATAGGACTATCGCAATCCACTTTAGAAGCTGTTTACGGATATCACCGGCTCAGAAGGCGTCTCACATTAGCCAGGTAGGCCTCAACAAACTCCGACTAATTGGTTTGGATATCGGTTTGATTACCGTGTTTCGGCCGCTACTGTCCTTTGGTTCTCACAGGGCTTATCTTCCACTCCACTGATACAGGGTAAATTCGTACCCCACCTTAATAAAAAAATATTTCGTCACTAAGGTCAAACTAATGCATACTAACAGGTAAGAGAATGCATTCTAAATAAAATAACACTCACCATTTAACTTTAACGATATTCGAAAGGGTCGCCACATGGACAGTGGCAAGCATAGTATAGTCGCCATGGGGCTAGTCACAGCACAACTGTTGGGCTGGTGTCCAAGCGCTGTTAGCTGTCCGTGTACTCTCTACTCCACCTATTCTCTCTGTTCTTTGATGAGTGTTTTTTTATTCTGTTTAAAGTTGAGTTTCTTTACAGTATAATATTTGCTACGAGTTTTGATTATGAAACAATGTAACTATTAATATATGTGCAAGAAGCTGGAGAGCAGTTTCTTCCAGGTATTTCTTCGGGAGGGGTGGGGGAGGGCGGTGCTGGGGAGCCGCATGTTGGCTTCCCAAGAACCGCATGCGGTTGCCAATCACTACTGAACACACTCTTTTTTTTTTTTTTTTTTTTTTTTTTTTTTTATAAAGTATTTTTTAATAAAAACATAACATATTATAACTCAAGGCATTAGAGTATTAGCTTTACGAAGTTGCAAACATCCAGTTATGATATCATTAGGTAATAAATGGACCCTCCTGTACTCGTCTGAATTAGCATACCGCATTTTTGTGCGTGGGTCTGTATATTTGGCCTCAAGCCCTGAAATGTCTGAATACTTTTTAGCAGGTCGAAAAGATGGAGGCGCATCAATTGAACCATAAGTGACATCATCTGGTCCCCACTGCAGCGCCCTCTCTGCTGCAACTATTTGCTTCAGATTTTTCCACACCCTTGTCCTTTTATTTCCAGCAATGCCTTTACTAGAATGAACAAAATTAGAATCTTTAAAAACAAATGCAGAGCTGGGTCTATCTGACTCAGTTATATCTTCAGTTACTACCTGGCCACCTGGGACCGTGACAGTTGTCTGTATAGTTGCCAAGGAATCATTTAAACTATCTGATGTATGTGTGACATCCTCATTGGAGGTAGTCACATCAACAGTCACAACTATCTCTTCAGCTATTTCAGCTTCATCCACATCTGCTATTGTCAGATTTTCTCCATCATCCACATCTGCTACTACTGAACACACTCAAAATAAAATAACAAAACTTTGTGTCAACAATACAAGGAAAAACATAATCTATCAAATATTAGACTCCAAAGAAATAATTTGTAACATATTTAAGGTTTTTAAGTTTTATTAATTTTGGATAAATAAATAGATTTTAGAAAAAAATAATAAAAAAATCACAATTTTGCTGATAACATTTTTTTTTGGTCATGTTGATACAATTATACCATCATATTTTATTTCAATGATCTTTATTTTAATACATAATTTTGTTGATATGTTTAAGTTGTATCCCTTGATTTAATTGATTTTGTATAAGGGAAGTAATAAAATACATGTCAATTTTGTGAGGCACCTCTATTTTAAACACCACAAGTTATATTGCAAGTTAATATATCTTTCGTAGGTTAAAAAGCTTCGAGCAATATTATTATATTTTGTGGCGATATAACGTTTATGCAACGTTCTCAAATATAGTGTGTAAATAGGGCTTAGAGTTAGGGTAACTTTATAACGTCTGTATAGAATGAGACACTTATAGCAACATTATAAAATTTCCGTGGATTGAGAGGTACAGAGTGTACTAAACATTGCCAAAACTGTGAATCTTTAAAACTTTTGGTGACATTGTCACGCGTGTGTTGAGCTGTAAGTGTAGCTCAATTTAATGGCATGTATGCGTAACGGAGTATTTTAGGCAGCTGATTAAGACATCTTTATCACATTTTATTTAGGAGATCAGATATATGTATTGTTAATTCTTAGTTTGAATAGTGTTTCTAAGAAAACGTCAGATGGTTTCATAAACTGGAGTGTATAGGACAACAACGTATATATAGTTAAGTAAAGAAAATTAATGACGACTTTATCATAGTTTAGATCGCATAGAGACAGATGTTAGACTATTCTCCTCCAATTAATTTGTAGTTTAATTGTATATGGATATATATATACATTGACTTTAATATACTGACAACTTATAAATGTGCTTTTGACCTTTTTAAAACACATCTAGTATGTAGTTTGGTAATAGAAATAGTTGATTGGGGTGTAAAATGGTTGTGGTGCTTCATTAACACTAAACTAATTAAAGTGAATTTCCTTTAGTTTACTTATTAAATCGATTGCTGTAAGTCATTAATCTATATAGTTAAATACATATTTTATTATTGCGCCTGTCTGTTAACACTATCGTACCACCACAATTGCAGGAAATTGTTGACTTTACTTAACGGCAATTGTTCAATAATTTTAACTAATCCATGTTTTTATATACAAGTGATTTCTCACAAGTTCATTGAAACGTTACCTCAAATATACATGGTGTGTTCGTATATATTTATAATTATGACTTGTGATTTTCGGCTCTATCGACTCAAAATGTTGCCGACTCATGCCTTAGGTTAAATTTCAGTTGCGTAATTTTTTTCTTTGATTTTATAAATTTCCTTCCACCCAGTTCATTCCCCTCAAGCCAGGAGCTAGCTGTGTGGATAGGTTGCATGTTAAAATATACATGTAATACATAGTATTGCATACAGTTTTCACCATATTCTAATTAAGCATGTGATTTTTAAGTTTTCGTTATACAAAACGTCTAAGATTGTACTGGGTTAACAATTAATTAATGTTCCTTCAAAGCTGTGTGATGAGTGATCTAGTAAGGGTGGGTTTTTGCATGTAACTGTATACCCTCTAATGGGAGGGCTACGCTGCAATCTCGGCAGTTATACAATGCTTGTAATGCGTCGTAATGCTTGAATAAACATGCATGAGTTTGATTTCAGTTTTCTTTCGATATAAAAATATATTCACTTTCAACATGTGTTTTAGTACATTTTTTTAAAATGTATTTCAATTTTATTTTATTGGTGTTTCTGTTTCCATATCAGTCTGTGGTTGTGTGACTTTGGTATGAGGGACGTCTGGTGTGGTGACTTAAATCATTTACCAAGGAGAAGATGATGCGCATGTTTTTGTTAACCAATAATTAATGTGTAATAAACACAGTGAGTGTTAATTAGCGTGATAATTATAATTGTTGCTTGCCTGTAAAAATGTGACTTATTTTCTATTCGTTTCAAGAAAAAGTGTTTAGAGTTTGACCGACTAGAAATCGTGTATTACCTTAGAGTGTAATTCTGTTTATTCGCTCTATATGTACCAGTCGGGTCCAAACTTGAATTATCAACATATATTGCTTCAAGTTAAAAGTAATTCAAATTAAAATGACTTGATGTATAATCCCCTATTTAAATTATAATTTTGCACGACATTTTTGGGTCTTCCACTGATATGCATATGTCCTATTGCACATATAATGTATACCATGCGGATATTATGGCTTGATCTAGTAACCAAGAGCTAAGCTCAAAATTAACACATTGATTGAATCTAAACATTTGTTATCCACGTAAAGTCTAGTCTTTTCACCTGAAAGTCTCAAGTTCGAACCGGGGTTCAAGTCCGTAGATTGTACTTGAGTCCACGTAGCTCTTATGAGTAACTGATTCAAGTTAGGGAAAGTTGCGCGTTTACATTAAACTATAGAACAACACTAAACATGTTGAAACATCTTATTCACAATTAAAGAAACATATTAATATTAATATCAGTAACGTACATAATATTGTTTATATCTAAAATTATTTTTATATGATAAAGTGAAGAATAGTTGACTTTTATCACATATTAATCCAAATGGAATATACAAAGCAGCGATATTTTATAATTTAAATTTAAAAACAATTATCAAAAGTATTTGCAGTTGTAAAGAGTAAAGAACGATAATTGATCTGAATTATCAACTGTATATAAGTTGTGCCTTGGTTATAGCTAATGTATTAATTTAAAAGCAAAATGGAAAAAAAATGACCTTTTTTAACAGACATAAAATTAATTCTAATTCTCAATAAAAAAAATATTATTTTTAAAGAAATAAAATGATATCATTTACATTCATAATGTAACTGTTTCACTAAGCATAAACATTTAACAATTATTTATTTTTAGAGGTTGCATTCCTTGAAAACAATGATTTGATATAATGGGAAGTAACTCGGCAAAATTAATGGTCGACTTGTTTCAGTGCTCGTGGTGTATGTTAATTAAAAACCTTGGCTCGTTAAAAAGTAGACACAAAAATATATATGATGCTAAGATACTTCGAACACACTTCCGAGATCGTCGCATCCGTGTCGTTAATAAAACTACAGAAACGCATTGTTTACATTTAGGGTATTGAGTCAAATAAGACGATATGAACATTTGAGTGATCGAGTTGATAGTTGAGTATAGGTCTTCGAGATTATCATGAGTTGAAAGTATATCGTTTTAGAGTGTTCGAGATTTGATTCTTTGCTTCTTGGTAGATGGCGTAATTGTGTGTTGGAAATCAAAAGTTGAGTGTCACATAGTAGCGTTGGTATGATTGTTTATTTGGGTAATACTTTTAGTTCGTTGGGAGATGAATAGTCGTGCGTTGTGAAAGTTGAGTTGTCGAGTTGATCTTTGAGTATAGTTCGTCGAGATTATCGTAGTTCGATGTTGTCGTGACGGAACAGTCTCCCTAAGATTACTCCTATGTAGGCGTTGTCTAGCTGAAAGATCGAAATAGATTATTAGCCACTCGTACATTGAAACCACCAAAGTACTAGTACTTAGTGGCTCTTCTCAAGAGCTTGGAGCGTTCGAGGGAAGTGTGGGTGCAACCCCAGGGCGATCTAGGTTTGCTTGTCGAGTTGAGTAGATTTGACCGCCTCCCGACCAAGGCGATCGACCCTAAGGAAGGCCGACTAACCGAATGGCTATGATCAGTGTAGAATCAAGAACATATACTACACTTTGGTCTTAGCAAAAAAAGCAGGGACGACCTCTTTGTTGATCTAGGTCAAGGGTCGGAAACCTTTTATGACGGAAGAGCCAAAAGTTTTAATTTACAAATTTCCCAGTTTTTAAAGAGCCACTAATACCAAGTTTTCAATATTTTTGCATTTGACAAAGCTTAAGTAAATAAATTTGATTACTGTATCGGTCGCTTCTGTCTGTCGGTTCTCACAGGGCTTATCTTCCACCCTACAGGAACCCAGAGTCCAGTATCTGGCTCAACCTTAGGAAACTAAAAACTAAAATACTACGTCACTCTGATCAAATTTTGTTCCAGGGGGGGGAGTCTTTCTTCTGGGGGGGGGGGTTAGGCTCTGTGCGACAACCCCCCCCCCCCCATCCCCCACACACACTGAAGAGATGCCTGGTGGCAAGCATAGAGTAGTCGCCACGGGGCTAAAGCAGCATACTGGGGCTACTGCACAAGCGGCTGTTAGCTGTCTGTATACTTTCTACCCCACCTACTATCACTGTTCGCTGATGAATGTTTTAGTCCTGTTGAAGTTAAAGTTGTTTTTCTTTACAGTATAATGAGTTTTGAAAATAAAATAATATAATTATTAGTATTTGCGCATGGAACTGGAGAGCCGCACCTTGACATCAAAACAGCCGAATGCGGCTCGCGAGCCAGTTGCCGACCCCTGATCTAGGTCAGGGATCGGCAACCTGCAAATAAACTAAACCAGCTAATAATTAGTGTAAAACTGAAAGGAAAACCCGGACTATGTCTTGCTTGAAGAAGTGGTTTGTTTAAAAAAAAAGTTTTGTTGAATATATAGTGAGCGGTAAATTACTAAATTACGAAAAAATCTGAAAAAATATCGTTTTGAAACCAATGCTACTATTCAATCGCTTCAGCATTAATATAAACACAATGAAGGATGTTTTCACCGAGAGATTTGAGCAATACAAAAGATATTGTTTACAGATGATTGGTTTAGGTCAGGGGTCGGCAACCTTTTGAGACGGAAGAGCCAAAAGCTATAATTTCCCAAATATCCAAGTTTTTGTGCGGGGTGGCCCATTTTTTCTAGTTCCGCCACTGATCAGGATTAATGAACATTTTTAAATGTAAGCTTTAAAAATCTACTTTAAACTACAGATGATAGAATCAAAGCATAATTGTACGCAA